GTCTGGTTGGGAATCAAAAGAGGCTAGGGCTTCTTATAGGGTTTGTCTGTGGAAAGGTATTATGAAATTCAACCAGGAGTTTAAGAATTTCACTTGTTTCTCTTTTGGTGATAGGGGAGAGGGTTAGGTTTTGAGAAGATGATTGGAGTGGACGTTTAAGCTGATGGAAGTGTGTCCAAGGCTGTACAGACTCTCTGAGCATGAGATTGCCATCAGTCAATGTTTTGAAAGACATGGGGATCAACGGATTTGGTGTCCTAGGTTCAGGAGAGAATTGCTCGAAGGGAGGTGGAGGAATGTATTTACTTGTTGGAAAAACTGGAGGGGATTAAGGTTCCATACCATTTGAGAGATGAGCTATGGTGAAATGAGTGTTCTAATGACAAATATACAGTCAAATAATGCTAATCAGCATTATGCAAGAATTATCTGGAGCTTGGTCAGGAAGTGGGCATTTGGGGCAACCCAGTGTCCCCGAGGCTGGAAGCTTTAGCTTGGCTTATTGCTATGGATAGTGTACTTACTGCGTATTACCTTAAGATTAGTCACTTGTTCATTTTGTGGAGTGACTGTTTTCATCTGTAAGTTATTCTCTGCATTTTTTGGAGTGAGATATCCCCAACCTGGTCCCCCTTCTCAGATTTTCTCTCTGTGGCCGAAGTTGATAAGTTGTAAGAAGGCCAAGCTTCTATGGACCTGTATTCCTTTTGCGGTCTGCTGGTGCATATGGAAGGAGAGGAACAACAGGTGTTTTGAAGACAAATTCTGGAGTTTGAAGAAATTAGTAATGGCTATTGGCAAAGCTGCTTCTGATTGGGTGCTGGTGCACCCTGAATTTGCTCAGAACAAAAAGGAAGATTTAGGGGAAAGGTTTTGGGAGGTGATAGATTTGAAAAACTGTGATTTTGATAGTTTTTTTCAGTTGATGTACTATTTTATCGGATAGTTTGTCTATTTTTCATTTAAGAACACAGGTGGGTGTTGCCTCGACACCCTATCTAGCTGTACCTGTTTTTGTTTAATTAATGAAAAATTTCCTTTTACTTATCAAAAAACAAAAACAAAATCAGATCACACAAGCACTTGTAGGGTACCAAAAAAACTTCACAAACCACAGGAAGAACGTTCCCACACCACAAACTGTCAAATAACAGCTGCACTTAGTACACATACTTGTACTCACGTCTAGGGCTGCGACAAGGTTTGGCTTAGTACACCACAACGCCTCAAAAGACCAGATTGATGCATTAAAGCCTATTTTTTTAAGGGTTGACCAGTCCCTTTAAGTCCCTTTTGCTATGTCTTGTAAAATGAGAGTTTTCAACTCCTAGGGCACAAAAAAGAGGCATGAACAGTGATAGTCGAGTTCACTGCTTTGAAACCAAATTATAACTTGAGAATAAAGTGAGAAAAGAGAAGAAAAAGGAAGGGCAAAAAGGTAGGAAAAGATTCTTGACACAGTACAGAACAGGAAGAAAAGGGTCTCCAAGGAAGAAGATTTGAACAGGTCTCTTCTCCTTGTCAACCTGAACTTTTATTCAACTTGAGAAAAGGTGTGAAAATTACAGAAAGACCCCTGTTAAGTGATTCTTAACGGGGGGAAATACAATGCCATATCCAAAATACAAAAAAAAGCCCCTTATGCATACATGTCAAGTTGTCAAGACAAACCAACAGACACACTTGGTGATGATATTGGTGAAGTTGTTTTAACATTAAGCTAAGAGACTATTATATTTGTTTATGACCAGATCTGATATTGAATATATAATGAGTATTCTTAGCATATGCATGACCCTAGGGCCATCAATTTTACTAGTGTTGAAAGATTTATCAAGTACTTGAAAAAGCATCCAAGGAGAGGTATTTTGTTTGCTAGACATGGCCACTTAAAAGTAAAAAACATGCAGTTGTAATTAGATTTAGTGCCAAGGCAAAGTGCCATGCCTTGGCATATAATGTAGCTAAGGTTTTGTAGGGAAAGAATGTGCTACTTGAGTTGGGATTTCCCATTACTAGTTCTATATCTCTCTATTGCAACGACAATACTGCAATTAACATAGTATGCAATCCTGTCTAGCATGACAGGAGTAAGCACGTTAAAAGTAGACAATCATTTCATTAGAGAAAGACTGGAGACAGGTGAAATTTGTGTATCTTATGGTAGATCTACTAAGCAATTAGCTGATGTATTTACTTAAAAGTGTAACTACCTAATATCACAATAAAATTTGTAACAAATTGGGAATGATTAACACTTAAGCGTAGTGCTTCCATTTATTGGCTTAGGGACTTCTCTCTTCTATTTTTTATTCTCCACTCTCTCCTTTCTCTTCTTTTAATGGTTGTCATCAATAGTCATAATAATGATATTATAATAAAGTGTCCACCTGGTGATTTTTGTGTTAGACAGTGTATGCCCTTAGCTCCAATCAGAATAATGTACATTATGACATTTAATGTAAATGAATAAAGTACATATTTGATTCATGTTATTATGGTGTGTTTCTATGTAATACCGTTAAACTGGACACATATGAGACTCGTGTTAGTTTAGAATCTTCACAGCCGTTG